CTGCAGTATTTAAGTTAGCTCTGAATGTATTTGTCTTTCAGCTTGTGACTACTTTGTCCTCTCATGTTTACATATTTAAAATTATCTCTCAGAAAAGTTTTGCGTGAAATAGTTTATTATAATCTTCTAACACCAGAAGATTATAATCAGTATAACACCTATTTCCTTATCACTTACTATCTATAATTGGGCCTCTATCTTCCTGTTCTGTTGGAGTTCACTTTTGTTTATTCCTTCAGCAAATACTCACTTATTGCCTGTCCTAAGCTGGATATTATGAAAGATACAAGAATGCAGGTGTTAATCAAACAGATTTTACTCCCATTGAGTTAATAGTCCAGAAGAGAAGAGGCAAGAACTGGAGAAAGGAACACTAGTTTGAAGGCTGTTTCAATAACTGTGGGAAGAGATAACATGGCCAACTGTAGCAGGGTAACACCAGAAGTGTAATGAAACAGGCTTTTTGAGAGGTAAAATGGTAGCTGTAAGGGGGCTTGGCTAAAGCTTGGATGTGAGGAGGTAAAGATAGTATGCTAGTGGGGCAAGAGATGTGTCATTCACTGATGTGGGGAACATGGAGAAGTAAGTCATAAGAATTTCATTTCAGTCATGTTAAGTTTGAGCTCCATAGCTCTCAAGAGTAATTTTTCCATGAAATATTTGGCAGTCACTAATAGAAAGTAATAAAGACATGATAAATAAACTCAGCTAGGGAGAAGATGAGGATTGAGGAATGACAGAGGCTGTGAAGAGGCTATGGAAGAGATTATCCAGTAGGAGCAGCTAGAGGAATGGGAGGAAAACAGAAGATTCTGAGGTTGTGGGACCAACAGATGACAGTATTTCAGAAAGGGGGGAGTGACCAGTGAGTAATGAGGGTGCAGCTATTTGATGAGACAGGAGAGGGCTTTGGGCTTGATTTCTGTCTCTCTCTCCCCTCTTCTTTTCCCTTTCCTTTCCCCTTCCACCCTCCTTCTCCCCCCCCTTTAATATTCCTTGATCAGAGATCTGCTTTATAATAATTTTAGCTACTCCCCTTATGCAAAGGAAAGACCCCATGTCGGTCAGTATCTTGAGTCCTAGATTTCTCCTAATAGCTTTATCTTACATTATTTACTCTTTTACTCATGAACTTAGTAGACTCCAAACTTTACTTTTTCCATTCTGGACATTGATTCATGTGTTAACAGAGATGTGGTTACAAAGAAACATAAAATATGGACTCTGTTCTCACTTTCTGACCCAGAGGCCTGTGTGTACCACTATCATGTCACTTCTCTAAATTTATTGTAGCAGTTGGGTTTTGTTTTGTTTTAAAGGTCTAGAGTAATACAGAACAGTGTAAGGAAATTGCTTTTTATTCTTTGAAACTCCTTTTGCTATAACTGATACCCAGGTCCTACTAATTTAATAAAAAAGGGCTTTTATTAGAAAGACACAGTGTACCTTAAAGAATACAAGCGAGTCTTTACAAAGTAAGCTTTGATAAGGACAGAGATACAGCTGGGACTGGAAACATCTGTAATCTCTGACCTCTATTTTCTAGGTGGTAATTGTTATGATACATTCAGATGTGTTTTTGTATGTAACCTTCATAATCACTGTGTAATTGGGAAACTGTGATTGTGGTACTTGAGATTTGGAAAAGTCCTGTGCCTGTTTAGCAGAGCACAGGTACTCAAGTCTAGGCTTGTAGTGCTACTGCTTTACACTTGTATTTGTGTAACACATTGTCATTATAGCATAAATACTTTCTTTCATGATGCTATATTTCATGTTATTGTGTGCTATTTTATGACTGAAAATAATGTATAAGAATTGTATGTGTACATTATTTTTTTTGAAGAGTAGAAATTGCAGTTAATGGAAATACAAACTTCTAAGGTTCTTAGGAATCTCTTCCTCTAAGAGGCCTTGCGTAATTCACTTCAGTTTAAACAATCATTAGGTAATTTAATAGGCTTTCCTGATCTATAAAGGCTGTCCTTTAGATCAATAGTGAAAACCTTGATTTGAACTTGATTTAAGCAGCTGAGCTAACTGTAGTATAATATTTTATTTAATATTTTGTGTAGGAAGTAGGTGGAGAATTATTTTAGTGGGCTTTTATGAATTATTTTAGGGGCATTGTGTGCTTAGTTCATCCCTTAGTTCGACTCTGTCTGCAGCTAAAGGCAAACACTTGTTTTTACCATCTTATGCTATGTGGGCAGTTGGAGAGTGTATATGAATATTAATGACATTTCAGTTTATTTCCGGTAGCTTTAAATTGGGCCAATATGCAGATTTATGACCTGTTTATATGTGATTTGTAACCTCTCTTATTTGATGCATAAGGGGAGCATTTTCTTGCTCCCCCCTTTTTATGAGGAATATACATATAGTGAGGAATGTTATGCCTTTGAAAACCTTGTGATTGATTGGCTTTGGTTGTTTTTCTTTATTAGCAGGTCACTATTAATTCCACTGTTGAATTCACCTTCCAGTGATCTACTGAAATTCTTCTTGCCCAGGTCCCTAGGATCTCTGAGTTGTAAATTTTTCACTTTCCCTATCTGACCTCTGTGTATCTCTTGACTACTAATATTCTTTCCTTTGTCTTCTAAATTTTTTTCTCCTTGGTAAGTCTTTTCAGTGCTGCTCTTTCCTGAAATGTGGACTCTGCCCCATGTCTACTGTTCTTACACTACATATTTTCTCTGAGTAGTCTCATCCTCTCAAATATTTATACTTTTCAAATTTCCAGTATCAGTCTTTTTCTGAGCCACCACCTTGTATAGAAGTACTTAAAGATATAATGCCTTATACGTCACATATCCATATTTAAACCACAGGAGAGGTGTTAACCCTTCACTATCCAAACTAAATCACAGCTGTTTTTTTTTTTTTTTTTTTTTCTTTTAAACATCTATTTTGAGATACACATACCATACATGTACCAGTTGAAAATATGTAATTTAGGGCTTTTAAAGTATATTCACAGGTTTTGCAATGATCACCACTTTTTACAATGATCACTAATATCAGAACAACTTTTTGTCTCTAGGACAGGTCCCTTATACTTTACCGGTTAATTCTCACCCACTCTAAGTAAACCGAACTGTGTTATCTGTCTTTATAAATTTCCCTGTGCATGTTTTATATAAATTGAATCAATATGTAGTTTTCTGTGACTTTTTTCACTTAGCATAGTATTTTCAGAATTTAGATTAGTTTGACATTTTGCCATTACCAGTAATGTTGCTATGAACATTGTACATATTTTTGTGTATGTGTATATTTTAATTTCTCTTAACGGTATACCTGGAAGTGAAATCACTGAGTCTGTATGGTATCTATATGTATAGTGTTTGAGAATCTAAATCTGTCAAGGTATTTTCCACAGTGGCTGTACCATTTTATATTGTGTGAGACTGAATTTCTCTGTGTCCTTACCAATTCTTTTTTTTGGCGGAACCAGGGATTGAATTTAGGCCATTGCACTTGCCAGGGAAGCACTTATTCCACTGAGCAGCCCCTTACTAACTCTTTTTATTCATTTTTTAAATTTTAACTATTTTGGTGGATTGAAGTGCTCTCCCATTTTTATTTTGATTTGCATTGTGCAGTGACTAATGATGTTGAGCTCTTAAGGAGAGGGAGTGAGACCTAAATTTTTCACGGTTCTGTTTCAGAATTTCATTTTGTTTTTTCTTTCTTTTTTTTTTTTTTTTTTTTTTTAAATGGAACCGGGGATTGAACTCAGGCTCTTGCACTTGCCAGCAAAGCGCTTATTCCACTGAGTCATCTCCCTGGCCCCCTTGCTTCAGACTTTCAGAGTGCTAGGATTATATATGTACATCACCATGCCTGATTTCTTTGTCCATTTTAAAATTTATTTTCACTTTATTACAAGTTAATTGTAAGAGTTATATGGATATCGAAAGTATGGATCTTTTAAGTTATGTTTGCTCTGTAGATATCCAGGTACAAGTCCTTTATCATATCAGTGATTTACATTTTTTTCTCCTGTTTTGTGAATTTCCTTTTCTCTTTTTTATGGTATCATTTGGAATATTTTTTTTTTTTCAGTTTTGAGATCGTAACTGACTATCTTAATGCTACATACTTGAGTTGTTGTAAAGCAAAGGAGAGATTTCTTTTCTCTGAAGTGAGTGGAAGACTCAAAGTGGAGTTGCCAGTGGAGTCGCTCCACATTTGACCTGTCTCTTCTTAGCTAGTATGTTACTTCCCTCCTCTCTTCCCTTTAACTATGATGGCCACTATAGAGGAATAGGCTTGTCTTGGCTTTGAGTCTTAGGAGTGGCTAAAGCTGTGACTGTCAGAGCGTTTTATCAAGGTTAACTATTTCCATGATGCTAATAGATACTAAGAATCTCATCTTATACCTAATTTTCCCACTAAATCTCTTTTTTAAATGGAAAACTGCTCCGGACTACAGAGCTCCTCTTGTCCTTAACTGACAGATAAGGAATGTAGCCATATAGCTCCTTCATCCTGGAGATAAGCAGACAGCAGCACCTATGCATTTATAGGAGCCGCTTCTCTGCTAGTGTTTTTGCATTCTTGCTAGTTCACAGTCCTGTATCTAGAAATTCAAGGACATTGAATGCCAGTGTACACTTGGGTTTTGAATGTTGTGGATCAATATGCTTTCAAAAAATCTTGAGTATTATATATGTACATTAAATTTTAATTTTGTCAAGTTATGACATTTGGTGATATAAGTATTATCATAATAAAATAATAGATTTTTTTCTACTGAGAGGGTACAAAAAATCTAAGATTGAACAAATTTACCATTATGAAAAATCATTATGGTGTTTTTATTTTTACTTTTTTACCCACCCCTGAAAAATATGTATGATGTATAGATTTCTATGTGAGAGCCCTAGTTTTACATTCTATTACTGTGCTTTACCTTAGTTTAATGTTTTTCTTTCAGGCCTGTTTAAAACATCTGTGTGCATGTGTATGTTATTTGTTTGTTTTGCCACTAGGTTACTTCTAGAGCTGCTGGAGCTACTGTTTGACAAGTTTAATGCTGTAGCCACTGCACACTCTGTGGTCCTGGGATACCTACAGGATGCCGTTGGGATCCCGCTGACTCAGCAAGAAGAGATCAAATTGTATGATATGGCAGATGTGTGGGTAAAGATCCAAGATGTGTTGCAGGTAAGGGCTTTTTTGCAAAGGATATTGTCTTGATTCAGGACAAAACAGAAAAAAGAAGTAAGAGTCACTTAAAATATTACCTTATGAATCATAAATAGGCAAAAGAAGCTGTTTCCATTTAAACGTGATAAATTCTGATGTCATTAACATATCCTATTCAAGGCCACTTAAACTTTTTTTTTGGCTAGGCTTGAAAAACAGTAGCATATTCTTAATATGTAGTAATCAAGATGTATAGTACCTGCCTTTCTATTCTAATGTACTTTATTTCTCTGGGCTTACTCATATATGAAGATAATAAGTGTGAAATGTGAAATGTTTTATAAAGCTTAATTTATTGACTGTTTCCTTTTACTTTTTGCATATATTGGGTTAAATGACACATCAAGAGCTTATTCTGAGAGATGAGAATAAATCAGTAAGCTGTAAATGTATCACTTTAATTGATTTGTTGAAGGTAAGAATTATATTGCAGTTTGCTGAGATAGCATTTAGAAATTGTATTATATTTTTTTCCATGTGTCAGCAAAATATATTTGACTTGGGCAGATGAAAACTAGAAATACAATTAAGACTAGCTGAAGCAAGTTTGACATAGCTAAGTAGAAGTGACTCGATTAGGTAGTACCCACTAATATGAAAAAAATTAAGTATATTTAGAGAATTGAGAAATTGAACTGTGTGGGAATGAAATTGCTTGTATGCAAGTAGGAATCATTGCAATAAAAATAAATCACGAATGTAAATTGCAAATTGAGAATAGAGGCATGTTTCTGGTGGGTTGAATGATTGATTCTTGGATACTCAGGCATTTTTTTGGGCAGTGAATTTTATTATTGATAGGTTAGTAGAAATAATATGGGTTGAAGCTACATTAAAAAAAATATATTTGGTAGTCAGACTTATAGTGATCCTCCTGTTTTCAGCCTCTCTAGCTCTGGGATTACATGCTTGGTCTCTGTGGCCTGCTCAGTGCTCCTGGGGGCTGGACTGGTGTGGCATGTGTTGCCTGGGATTGAACCTGTCCCTGCACTTGCCTAAGCAGGTGCTTAGTCCACTGAGCTATTGAAACTACGTTCCTGGAGTCTCGCCACCCTTTTATGATTTTTGTCAATTATTGTGTGCCTATAGTAGGAGCTTGACTAGTTATTTAATATTCTGTATCTTGGTTTGTTAAATTTATCATATGGAAATGATATGTGTCTTGCATTACTTGTTTATTTTAAGGAACAGATAGTAGATTTTAGAGCTATTTCAAAAATAGCTAGAATTAGAAATTTCTGATTCTTGCTATGATGAAGTTACTTCTTTCAATAAACAGCTGTAAAATTGGGTGGACTAGGGTTGCACAGAGACAGAGAGAACTCAGGAGGTGAGCACTACATTTTTCTTTCCCTTGCCACCCATCTCCTTACCCCAGCTCTAGATCCCTTTCCTGATGTCCATATTATTCTTCTTGTTTTTTAGTTCATGTTTATGACATATGAAGATTATATTAATTGAGCGTAGTTAGTACCTGTTTGATGCATCTGAAAACCTTTTATGTCCATTTCCCTTTCTTTCACCCTAAGACTTTTGGGCTCTTTGTTTGTAAAAGATTCTTCTCCCTGTTTCATTTTATCAATGTTTTCTTTCTTCTCTTTTCCCTTCCCTTCTCCCGTCCCCTTCCCTCCCATCTTCCCTTCCTCTCCCTGTACCCCTTATTCCCTTCCCTCTCTTCCCCATTTCTCCTCTCATCTCATTTTCTCTTACTTTTTGTATTTCTTATCTACATTGCCCAGGTTGGCTTTGATCTCCTAAACTCAAAAGATCTCCCTCCCTCAGCCTCCCAAGTAGAGGAACCTATAGAAGTATACAATGTGACACCAGACCTGGCTGAAAATAAAGCATTTTTGAGTAAGAGGTTCTTCTAAATAATTTAATTTTTTGTTACTATAAATAAAAATTGATATACAGTTTTTCTTTATTACTTTTCTTCTTGCTGAGACAAAATATTTGCCACCCAAAATTAAAGGAGAAAAGGTTCATTTAAATCATACTTAGAGATTTCATTCCATAATCAGCTGGTTCCAAGGCAGTAGATGACAGGCATGGTGGAGGAAAAACAAGTTTATGATGCAAAAAAAGAAGCAAAAGCAACAAGGAACCTTAATTGTTTCTTGGCTTTCTTCCACTTTTATCTTATCCGTGATACTCAGGGAAGGTAGTATTGCAGACAGCCAAGTTAGATAAAAGTATTATAGGCAGTCAGACAGGGCCAGGCCCTCAAAGGAGACAGCACAGAAGATGAGATGCCTTACAACTGTGGGAGGGGCAGATGCTGCTGTTCTGAACCAGACCTAAAGACCTAAAGGCCAAACAAATGCTAAATGAGTAGCACCTGGGATTGATATTCTAAATAGGTATCAATCACCTGGAAAGACTCAAGGGAGTCACTAGCCCAACCCCCAACTGAAAGAGACCCTATCCCGCATTCCAACCCCCAACAGTAAAAGACCCTGTCCCATATGTAATCCCATTGGTTGACCATAGTATTGTCCCACCTCCTGCCCACCTAAGCGAGTTCCCATTCTCTCTACCTTAGCCTCACATGGTTTTACACTATAAAAGTCCCTGGAAGAGACAGCTTCCTGGGGAACTACCCGCTCAGGCCCCTCTCTGTCCCTCTCTTGGACAGGAGCTTTCTTTCTCTCAATAAATATATTCTGCTCATAACCTCTGTTTGTTCCTAAAATTCATTCTTTGGTTTTAGAGAACACAAACTCCTGCAGGTCAGGTCAGGAGATTGTTTTTCTCTATGTCATTTGGAGGTTCCTTGTATGGTTTGGAGGTCACCCACCCGAGACCAGTTTTTCTCCCTGTATCAGTAGCACTCGCACCTTAAACCTAGTGCCCTTGAACCCAGCATTGCACCATGAATCAATTCCAGTGTCATGCATTCTAGATCCAGCCAGCTCTGAAAAAGTCCCACCCATGTCCATCTGAGGCCTTGGGAGTCATCTAATACAAGGCATAACGCAACTTTTAAAATCATGTTTAGATTTTTATGTTTTCTAGTTCCCTCAGAATTCTTTTAGGTTGCACTGTACTGAATAATATTAATGTATATGCTCATTAGGAAACTGAATATCTAATGGCAGATACACCTGAATTAGTGTTGCTAAATTTAAGAACAATATTTGGTTTTGTAATGTGTATTACAATCATTTTAGACATTGAAAGGACTAAGAAAAATTTGTGAAATTGGAGAGTTCTTACAGAAAAGTGAGGAATGGCACTACTTATAGGGAGGTGGAAAAGATGATGAGGTAATAACTGTGAGTGACACAAAAGGAATGAATAGATGAGGGTAGTCAGGGATAAGAAGCAAGGTGTATCTACAATTGAAGGTTTATTTTGTTGACTCCAAGATAAGCGTGGATGGGACAACTTGGGTGCATGTTATGGAAAGCCTTTAGTGTCATCTGTATGGTTGGTGATTTATGAGACTAATACCAGTGGTTTCTCAAGCTGCCTACATATTGCATTGGGCCTAAGGTTTGAGTCTTAGCCTCATCTCACACCTTCTTAATGAATTTCTTTAGTATCCTATATTTAGAGATCCTTGCTTTGGCTTACATTATTAGAAGTGACTAAGAATGAAATATGTTATAATGATAGAGGACAAAAGAATACAAAGGGAGAGAAAGATTGTGAACTGTTTGTGTATTAGAAAACTAGTAAAATGTTATATTTGACATGTCTGCTTGATTTTCAAGAGGACAGATATTATAGTAATAGGTTACTGTTAAATTATTGGGACCAGTTATCTGCTAAGTACTGATAAAAATAAGCTAAAAGAGAGTTCACTTGGTCGAAGTGAGGGAGAGTCTGCAGTAGTTTGTTTTTCTATTAAATTCAGTATTTATGATCTGTCTTAAAATAATAGAGCCCTGTCTGGGAAATATTTATAATCACCTATATAGCGAGTTTTGGAAAGATTTTTGGTTTAATTTTCTGTGTACAGTTTTATGTATTGGGCCAGCTTAATTTTGTGTACTTGTTCTTTATGTTCTTTATTCCTGGACAGTGAAACAGTTAAGAGCAGTAGGCACCTGCAGTCAAGGGTTTAATGAGTGAATGAAAGTGATAAAATGATTGAAATGGTGAGATAATATGACAAATGGAGTTACATGTGTTTACAATTCAAATTTCATTTTTGTTTTGATTTGAGTGTCTTTTTAAAAAAATTAAAGTGTTCTTTTATATAGTAAATCATGGTGCAGGAAACAATTCTTCATTTTTTTAAACTACTTCCAACAATTTTTCTCCACCTGGCAGCCAGAACCCATCCTTTAGTTAGGAGGCTCTTTTGTCTCAGCATGTTTGTCTGCAGATAGACGGTGAGCAGACGAGGCTATCGCTATCTTACTAACAAGGTGTCATTGTTTTCTTCTGGTGTCAGCCCTGTGACCACACATCATTGCACTCCTTTTTCAGTTTTGTACTCTTTTGAAAACTATGAAATAGAAATATATATTTTTGCCCTTCTGAGTAGCAGCAAAACCTTCTATAATATCACCTACTTGGTGACATGGCTGTCACAGTTATTAACTCCACGATTTCAACTGAATTAGATTGACACACACCAGAAACAAAATATTCATATCTTTAGGGATTCTGTATAACAAAGGAAACAAGAGGACTTTGAACCAACCTATCTTCTAAGCATTATGATTCTGAAGAAAATACAATTTTTTTATGAATTATTTCAAAATGAAACTCTTAGCCATTGTTGGTTGAAATGTGTAATCCTTTAACGACTAAGCAGTGTATACTGACTGAGATAATGGGGTCTAGTTACATTATTACTAAGACGGACTTCTACAACAAGTCACTTTCCTTTCTTAGTGCCTTGATTTCTTTTTCCACACAGTAATAGAGAGCAGAATATAAAATTATTTTCCTTTTGTTAACTGCTGCATAAATATTTAAATAGTGATAAAATTAACCTCATGAGA